TTTTAAGCTCAATTTATGCATTTTAAAAAATAATACTTTTACTAGTCCTTCAGTTAATCTTAAATTGTCAAATTAAATTCCCTGAAGCATTTTAAAAAACACTTAACAAAGTATATAATGAATCAAAAAGCAAAATCAAATAACATATCCTGTTAATCTTAGTCTAATAAATCAAATTTATAAATCCAGTAAACCAAGTTCTCCTAAATATTATACATTGCTTATAAACTTCTGTTACAAATTGTAATGACAAGTCTAAGACAGCAGATTCTCTAAAAACATTTCAAATATCTTTTTTAAAAAACCCATAATACATAGACAAATGATCAGTTATTACCCAATTTATCAATTCATATTTATCTTAAACCTAATCCAAAGTGTTCATATTATAGGCTAAATTTATTTCTTCAACCTGTCATTTCTTCATCTCAGAACTACTAATCTAATTATCCAATAAAAGGGAATAGAATTTCCATCTTCCAGATTTCTACTGCAACTCAGATTATGTATTTGGGATCAGGGCAGGGAACCTGTGTCTACCTGCCAACCAGAGTCTGCCTATTGAGCAGCTCCACCCCCCCACCTCCCTTTCTTATTATCAGGCCCTTGCCTGCCATTTTTAACAGGAACTTTATAAGCCCTCATATAAATTTAACTAAACATTTTTTTAGTTTGTTTTTTGCAACCTGGTTCTTTCCTAGAAATGATGCATCCTTAAGTTTTTCCTTTAGGTTACACTTCATCCCTGTTTCAATGGGATTTTATAAGTCCAATTATGTACATACTGTGTAACCTTTGCCATTAAAGCCTATTTGTGTACTAATGGGGTTTTGACACCCTACTTAGGTTACAACAGTAACCTTTTCTCTTTTGTAATTTAACAGCTGCCTCATTGACCATCAGTCATTTTACTGACAATGATGATCAAGTTTAGTTTTTAACCCCTTTAAATTCACAAAGCCAAAATGATTTTTCTCTCCTAGGAATGCCAGAATCACCTCCGCAGATATGGAAATGTGAATCTGGAACTGGTGACTCGAATCATTAGAGATGGTGGTCCGTGGGAAGATCCAGTGTTGCAAGCTGTTCTTAAAGCCCAGCCAGCATCTCAGGAGATAGGTACTTCACTCAGGAGATTGAAAATCAAAACCAACATTTGTGAGAAGCAAACACAATTTTGTTTCCTAATTAGAGCAGTAACCATGATTTTTCTTTATTTTATAATACTGAATAACGGAGTAAATGTATTTTCAGATGAAGAATGTTTAACTTGTTATTCTGACCTGGTCCAAAGTGATTTTTGACACCACTAGACACATTTATTTCTAGTAATGGGAATTCAGAGTATTAACA